TTTTTTGGGGAAAAGGGAAATTTCGCGGTTTCGCACATGCCGCGAAATCCTTTTGTCCCTGGACATAGGGGATCAAACTGTCTCTGAATATTTGACGTAAAATGAATCAGAAAGGGAATTATACGCCTACCCAAATGGAGCAGTGACACTTGCTTCAGAGAAGATTCCTTCAAGCAACACAACAGATGAATTTCAGAGAAATCGTAAAGAATTCACACGAAATCGAGAGATTATCTTAAGGCTAGGTTCTAATACGTATCTTACTTTTGGTTACTTTGGTGTGCTTCATAGAATCCTCTATCGCGTCATCAGAGTTGCTGACCACCCGGACAGCGAGATCGCTGCCTTTATTCCACTCCAGTCGGTAACACGACTCCTGTCCGACAGCGACATCTGTCCGACAGCGACATCTGTCCGACTCAGGGTACCAGAAAAAAACGACATCTGTCCGAAATTGTGACCTGATTTCAATACGACACATTTCCAATTAGACATGATCTAAACTGTTACTTGCTAAATTGTATACGAAATAATATTTCGTCGAAATATTTCCAATTTGACTTTGAGATATGATCTGAGCCATAGATCCAGTCCAGTAACAAGTTCCCATTTCGACAGCTGTATCCTGCCACTAGAGGCTCATCCGGGAATGACTTCACAAACGTTGTTAGAATTTCTTTAAAGTGCAGGGGATCTTCGATAGTATCGAGGTCCAATTACTACAAACGAATTGTCGTAGAGCGTTTGGTTGCGCTGATTAAATATGTTTTCAACTTTTGGTGCAATGCTTTTTCTATATGATGTCAAAACAATCTTTTGATGATCATCAGAATAATGATCCAAAATCTCAAGATACATTTAGTATAATACCATGTTTGTGCTATCTGAGATTCGGTGAATCAATTTATTTTGTTGATTATAATGTTGTGATTGCATAATTTATTGTAAATTTAATATATTATTTCAGAATTATGTAACGTGATGGAAATATTTTAAACGGGTAATATTCTGTCGAAACTCGAAACCCAGGATACATAACATGAAGACTTTGATGTAACTTTGTATGAAAAGCATAAATAAGCTTGTTGTATTAATTGTAATATATAATATAAAACGTCAGAGTTGATATCGAAGTGCGGGCACATGTTTTACCGTTTACAATTAGCCAATATTGAAAAATAAGTACGATCAGGTGTTATTTATTCCATCATTATAATTAGTTCCCTAAGGATTTATCTCCTAAAACTCCAAGTTGTTATGAATATGATTAGTTTGTGCTCCCAGTTGAACGGCTATCATAAACAAAACTTCATCTATTAGTAGATAAGAAGTAATTGAAGCCAAAACTAGTAGAGTCACAAGCGGGTCACCTGAAGACGCATCGTTTTCATTTCTTCGTGATTACCATTTATTTTATGATTCTACTCAGGATTATCTTTGGGCGACTGTTGCTTAATATTATTAACACCAGTTACACTGACTTGTCAATTTTTAACTGAACGTCAACTCACGATAATTTTGTTTGGGAAAAACATATATTACTATTAGGCTCGACAATAGAAACGCCGGACGTTAGGATACTGAGCACTCCTCAAAATTTACGAAACATTTTAAATCATTGACATTACTGAACACCAAAAAGTGGAAGACCTCGTTAATGCAGCTGTCTTTCACTTTAGATCTTGTACCTCTGATACATAATAATATTGATGTCAGAAAATTGAAACTTATTTTGGTTCGAATCCAGTTTAGTTGGCAACGTTGCTGTACGAGTCATACCTTTTTTCAGCAATCTTAGTACAGTAAAACCCCGGTTTATCGCGCCCGATTTACCGGCTACCGCGGCCATTCCCTTTCCCTATTTAAGACTTCCGACTTAACAAACAAAATGTTGACAACCAGAACCCCGGCGTAAAAGTCCCCTGCTTCACTTTTATAACTCCATAATTGCACGATCGTTTCTTTTCTTTTTCATAGTCATACAGTGAAGTCTTCATAGTAGATGACAGTGGATTTGTTAATATGACACTAACAAAATAGGCGCCTTGGCCATTGGCCAGCTCTCCTAAATGATATTTAGCCTTTCGCCTGATGTCCAATCTCGCTACATCGGCTGTGTTTCTGAATTCAACAGATTGAGCCTCTATTATTTTCCGAAGAGTTGGCTCAGTTTGAACGCCATGTTGCACGATTTTGAGTAGTCCTGCAATGAAGTCTTTGATGTTATCGTGTCTCATGTGAACAAAGCCCCCCTCTCTTGCACTTAAGACTAAGTGCGTGTGTCATTGTGAACTTTTGGGTGCAAGGATAGACTGTTGAAAGTCCTTTCAACTCTCGATGGTATGGCATATTTATTGTGTCTTGAAATTCTGAGTAATTTAGGTAAAATCTCTGCTTTTAATTGGTTGACCAGCAAACCAATTTGACGCTCGTAATAATTGACTCAAACTCTTTTCTACAGCATATATAAGTATATATTCTGGAGTCCACATTTTTTGGCAGCTATTTGACCTTAGAATAACAGATAAGCCGGAGATAGCAATTATTTGACAATATTTTATTGCTATGAACCTTCCGACTCTAGACCAAGTCGCGCGATGGGCAGTATAAACCAAGAGGCTTGCATATAATGAACATATTGACACGGGTGCAGAGTTGAGTCTGTACGGAACCTAGTATTTCATGTTTGGCGTGTGCACGTGAACGCCGCGGTTACCATGGAGATGTTGGCTGCAATGTATTCGCGGTACGCGTGCACGCTCATTTATTTATCTTTCACTTCCAATTGCTCTTAAACTTATAAAAAAACAATGGTCAACTTATATACAAGTGCAGCAGTGCTCACAGGAAATGAGATCAATCAGTTATCTGCAGCTGTGATTCTTCTAAGAGTATTGGTATTGGCTCTAGGATTCCTCGTCATCGGACTTCACATTCGTACAGTGAACAAAATTTCGAAGGTCTTCAACGAAATTGACTTGGAAGGGGGACTACAAGTTCCTAAAGAAAAGCCACCACAACAAGGCCCCTTACAACAGGGATTGCCAGACCCAAGGTTTCCTGCTTCAAGGACTCTCGACAGCACTAGCAGGTCAAAAATATGGAAGACAAGAACGGAGAGGGATAGATCAGCGCGTTCAAAGGTAAAATTTTAGAATGATTCAGCTTCGTTTTCAATTTTATTTCGCAACACTTCAAATTGATTCAAGGTTTCATCACTTTTTTGATGCAATTTAATCTCTTCATTAACACTATTTGGAACTTAAATATTGTTAGTTGTTACATGCTTAATATAAATTGTAAAACAGTAATTTCTTTTAGGTAGGTTTGGGTGCCCGCAAACACAAATACGTGTCTTCGAGTATCTTCCCAGATGAACTCGTTTTCATCTCCGAGAGTGAAGATTCCATACGGGTGAAGAAATTCATAATGGCGGGTAGAGAAGTCGTCAAAAAAGGAGTGCCTCCAAAAGGAGAGGATGGAATAAACTCCTGTGGAAACAATGAAGTTGAGAAGAAAACTGACAAAGGGGATCAAAGTGTCTCTGAATATTTAACATCAAATGAATCAGAAAGCGAACTATACAACTACCCAAATGGAGCAGGGACAGTGACATTTGATCCAAGTAACACAACAGACAAGTTACAGAGAAATCGTAAATCTATCTCAGAAAATAATCTGCTAATCAGAAACAATACATCTCGCGGAGCTGGCCAGTTCCCGAAACAGCTTGTAACGAGATCTCGTGACCAGGTAAATGGATAGTTAAACAAATGAACTTTTCATAAGTCATTTGGTACCCGAATTAAGTTTGTTGAATCTTGTAACACCTTCGCATTTGTGATACAAGCATTAATAGTTTTTCCTTGAAAGCTAATCAACTGATCTGAAAATATGTAATTGAAATCTATAAAAATCAATTTAAGCAACACTGATCTTATTGCAGAATCAGGGGGATCTTAGCCTAATTTAATCTCATTTTATCTCTGCAGAATCAGGGGGATCAGGATAATTGCCTTACTGTTTGAAAAGTCTACCGACATACGCTCTGACATACGCTAGGACATACGCCCTGACACATGCTCTGACATACGCTCTGACACACGCTCTGACATACGCCCGGACACACGCTCGGACATACGCTCTGACACACGCTTTGACATACGCCCGGAACACGCTCTGACACACGCTCTGAAATACGCTCGGACACACGCTCGGGCACACGCTCGGACACACGCTCTGACATACGCTCGGACACACGCTCTGACACACGCTCTGACATACGCTCTGACACACGCTCTGACATACGCCTGGACACACGCTCTGACATACGCTCTGACACACGCTCTGACACACGCTCGGACATACGCCCGGACACACGCTCGGACATACGCTCTGACACACGCTTTGACATATGCCCGGAACACGCTCTGACACACGCTCTGAAATACGCTAGGACATACGCCCTGACACACGCTCTGACATACGCCCGGACACACGCTTGGACATACGCTCTGACACACGCTTTGACATACGCCCGGAACACGCTCTGACACACGCTCTGAAATACGCTCGGACACACGCTCGGGCACACGCTCGGACACACGGTCTGACATACGCTCGGACACACGCTCTGACACACGATCTGACATACGCTCTGACACACGCTCTGACATACGCCCGGACACACGCTCTGATATACGCTCTGACACACGCTCGGACACACGCTCGGACACACGCTCGGACACACGCTCGGACACACGCTCGGGCACACGCTCGGACACACGGTCTGACATATGCTCTGACACACGCTCTGAAATACGCTCGGACACACGCTCTGACACACGCTCTGACATACGCTCGGACACACGGTCTGCCATACGCTCTGACAAACACTCTGCAGCAGCACTTGCAGAAACCACAGTTATGGGATAGGATGCATTAATCATTCCTTGTTATTATTCATAAACCAGAAAAAAAAACCAAAAAAATGTTAAAAGAGGCAAAAACAAAGAAAAAACCAAAAAAAAAACCAAAATCCAAAAAAAAAAACATTACTTTGTAATGCGGTTGTTCCTTTTTACAACAGCATTCATTAATTCGATATCATTTTTCCGATATCAAAAAGCCCAATGAGCTTGTTTCACTTGTATAAAACTTATGTGTTTCTTAGAACTTCACGAATTATTTTATAAAATAAAATAATATCATCTTTTAAAATACATATTTACCTGTTGGACTTCTTCCTCGTCTTCCTCAGCTTCTTCTCCGAACGACAAAAGTTTGAAATTCTTTGTAGCCTTCATCTGACTTTTCTTCTTCTTTTCTTTCTTCTTCTCTTCGCCCTGCATTTGATTGCCGTATAAACGTATTTTGCAGAAAAAAATATCCAGTGTATTGGCTAGCTGTAAAGTCTATGTTAGGCGATTGATCTTACTGTGACGAATATGTGACTAATCACTAAGATTAGAATTGATGGGTCAATCTTTAGTACAGGGAAATCCGTCTGAAAAAATCGATCTGCTGACACACGAAGCTTTCAGAGGATTTTTGACGTTTTTGAGTCCCATTAGGTGCCCTTTATGGTTGACCAACTTTTCCAAACTTTTCCACGTGGCTTAAGGCCACTTTTTGCCACTTTACCACTTTTTACCACCTTTCTTGTTTGTCGAATATCTTTAGTTGTGAACATCGTAAAAGGTTGCGAATCAATCGAGTGTGTTCATATTATCAGGAAGAAAAACTTTTGTTCAAACAATTTTTACGTCAGATAATAAGTTAATTGGATAATTATCAATTAACTAATTAGCAAAATTCTAAAAATTTTTTATTTGCTAAAAATGATCGGAATAGCTTAAAACACGGAGAAAAGTAGTTTTTAGAAAAACTTTGAAAAATTTTCACTTACATTTATTTTTCGAGACTTCGAAAATTTTCGAAAATTCAAAATATTTTTTCCGCCAAAAGTGATAAAATTGCATGAAACGCGGAGGAAAATGATTTTCAAAAAAAAACTTAGTCAATTTTTCGTTTCAAGAATACCTTAATCACCAATATTTGTAGTTGGAGTTCAGTAAATCTCGGCAGATTTTAGTTATAATCAGGAATTACTAACTCTAAGTGGAAAGGTCTGAAACTGTAAAACGTTAAGTTTAACCATACGATCGCGATTTAAGAGTTTCATAACTAATTACAATACAGCCTTATCGATTTTCACAGAAACTGCACCAATGGCACAGTCAAGATCGAAACGATAGCCTGCTGTACTGTCATTTTATCGATTTCAATGATGAATCAGTGGGGTTAAGATAATCACATTTGTAATAAATAAAACCTCTCTGTACTGTCAATTGTGATAATCTAAACCGGCCTACCTGTATTACCAGACCTCTTCTTTTCCTCAACAATCAAACCGAGTTATTCATATCGCATTTGGTGGGTGATGTTAGTACTAGTAGTAATACATATCGAGATATATTCAATCACAATACGACACAGTACGTGTATATTATATGGCTCTTAATGAGGTTTATGAAACGCTTTATACCGCGAGAAACCCGGTATAGAGAGGTTTTACAGTTTATCACGAAAACGTCTACTTGGTCTCATGGCTCATTTACAGTTCGAAGAAGGGCAAGAACAGATCAGGGAAACTGAGGAATAGCCAGGTCCAGGAAGCAAGTGAAAATACACCTTCCAACATATACTGTGACTGTTTTGTATTGTACTGCATACCGCTTCATTTGCGGATACCTCAAATCACCCCCATATGTCAGGGTCGGCTAAAAGTAAAATCAACAAGGGTAACATACGGGAAAGGGTAAGATTTAGATACGAGTACTGCAGTGTCGGGCAAGGGGTAGTAAAGAACCGGTAATAATTAATTCAGTGAAATGTTCCACGAGAGTCAGGATATTTTGGAAATTGCTAATAGAGACAGATCCTGATCAGGAAGGATTGTTAATGTTATTGAGGATGTTGATTTGAAATCCGGACGTCGTGAAGTAAAAATACAGGTTCTTCCCGCAGGATATTCGGGGCCCATGATGATCAGCTCGGGATTAATGTGGGACATATCGAAGACTGACAACTGAACCCAATTGAACCTATTTCCCACTAACCAATCAGCTTAATTGGTTAGGGTTAGGGTTAGGGTTAGGGTTAGGGTTAGGGTTAGGGTTAGGGTTAGGGTTAGGGTTAGAGTTAGAGTTAATCTAAATGTCTAAATTGGGTTCAGTTGTCCGGTAGCCCGCTCTTGCGAGTTCTTTGAGCTGTCAAAGAGCCATGAGACCAAGTTAATTGACGATGTCAATTCATGGCAGCTCGGCGCGGCACAGTAGCGCATCTCGCCGATCTTGTCGCTGTGAGAAGCCTTATTAAGTGCGCGGCGCGGCACAGTAACGCATCGCGCTACAAGAGACCAAGTAAACCTTTTCGTGATAAACTGTAAAACCTTTCCATATCGGGCCTCTCACGGGAGAAATGAGAAGTGTACGGTATAGAACGTTTCATATACCTCATTAAAGGGCCATAATATAATATACACGTATTGCATTGTGTTGTATTGTGATTGAATATAGCTCGATATGTATTACTACTTACATCACCCACCAAATGCGATATGAACAACTCGGTTTGATTGTTGAGGAAAAGAAGAGGTCTGGTAATACAGGTAGGCCGGTTTAGATTATCACAATTGACAATACAGAGAGGTTTTATTTATTACAAATGTGATTATCTTAACCCCACTGATTCATCATTGAAATCGATAAAATGACAGTACAGCAGGCTATCGTTTCGATCTTGACTGTGCCATTGGTGCAGTTTCTGTGAAAATCGATAAGGCTGTATTGTAATTAGTTATGAAACTCTTAAATCGCGATCGTATGGTTAAACTTAACGTTTTTCAGTTTCAGACCTTTCCACTTAGAGTTAGTAATTCCTGATTATTACTAAAATCTGCCGAGATTTACTGAACTCCAACTACAAATATTGGTGATTAAGGTATTCTTGAAACGAAAAATTGACTAAGTTTTTTTTGAAAATCATTTTCCTCCGCGTTTCATGCAATTTTATCACTTTTGGCGGAAAAAATATTTTGAATTTTCGAAATTTTTCGAAGTCTCGAAAAATAAATGTAAGTGAAAATTTTTCAAAGTTTTTCTAAAAACTACTTTTCTCCGTGTTTTAAGCTATTCCGATCATTTTTAGCAAATAAAAATTTTTTAGAATTTTGCTAATTAGTTAATTGATAATTATCCAATTAACTTATTATCTGACGTAAAAATTGTTTGAACAAAAGTTTTTCTTCCTGATAATATGAACACACTCGATTGATTCGCAACCTTTTACGATGTTCACAACTAAAGATATTCGACAAACAAGAAAGGTGGTAAAAAGTGGTAAAGTGGCAAAAAGTGGCCTTAAGCCACGTGGAAAAGTTTGGAAAAGTTGGTCAACCATAAAGGGCACCTAATGGGACTCAAAAACGTCAAAAATCCTCTGAAAGCTTCGTGTGTCAGCAGATCGATTTTTTCAGACGGATTTCCCTGTACTACTTACAAAAATTTTGATTAGTAGCGGTTTGGCAGGTAATGGACATTATAGGGTGCCAGTTCGCCGTTATAAACGTTTTCTTGTTCTGAACTAAGTTTGGTTCCATCTTTTGCATTGTATTAGTTCAATAAAGGTAAAAAGTTTGTCACATTTTAAGTTACGCAAAAACTCACAGTTTTATGCTTAATATCTCTAGTAACTATATCATCAAACGGATTGTTGAGGATCTCGGTTTTCCTGATACTTGGAGGCTCGAGAGGTCGCTCATTATTATCTGTTTCCATCTCCGCCATTCTCAACACGTTAAAGATGGTGTTCCCCGTCACCTGATTATTTACTCCTTTACAAAATTTAATGGTTACTTGATAATTGGTAATGGTTTGTTTGTTTGTTTGTTTGTTTATAGAACCCGTCCCCAATCTCGTATTGGAAAATGACTAAACTCAGGTCTGAGTGTGAATACGGGTGGTACCTGCAAGAGTGTTCATTAAGCATTTAGAGTTCTGTAAAACTGCAGTTACAATTGTGCTAGAGTATTTTTAGTATATACGATTGGTATCAGAAATATATCCCTACATGCTTCCAAAATTTGTAAAGCCGTAGTACTAGTACATACATATCACATTACACCAGAGCCTACACAGTGCAATCTCCTCCAGTCTATCTGCGCAGCGTATATTTGTATAAGCACACGGCGCAGACTGGAAAAAACCACACTCTGCAAGTTCAATCCAGTGCAATGCTACATATGTACGTACTACGGCTTCATCTCCAACTTTCTGCACAATGTACTGGAATGTTTTGAAGGAAAAGAAAGAACAAAAAAAGTGATATATATAAATAAAATCAGCGATTTAATGTTAGCCTTGGGACAGTAACTTTAATTCCCTGGTTTCTAAAATCAGCTTTAAAAAAAAAATAATAATAAAGTATGTAACGTCGATACCAAACCGATTATTGAGCGATAATAACTGAGTAGTTGATTCCTGGGTTGCAGAGTCATTCAGATGTTCCAGTCTTCGAATGTGGTTCTTGTTCAGTTCTTGACCAGAAGTGTCTAATGAAGTAAGTCAGACAAGCAAACTCTTCCTTAAATGCTAATATAAGTCGTCTCAATCCCAGAAATTATGAATGATGACCCAGTGTAAAAGTGCAGAAATCGGCCGAAAATAACAAAGACTAAAAACAGTTAAAAAGTGAAAGGATTCAAACACAAGGAAAATTAATAACTTAGAGCGTAATAAGGAATATCTCCAAACGGAGTTTTCTGAGAGGGTGAGAGGTTCTTTAATTAGAGCTAATGATTAAATGAGACCCACTAAAGGTACTAAATTAACCGGACTGCTAGCAAGGAATCGAGAGTGGGAATAAAACTAAAAGCGGAATAAATTTTAAGATAATGAAACAGAAACTGAAAGCTAAAATATATACCGTTCTAGAATGCCTCCGCAAACTATTGCTTCTTTGTAATGTGCACGTGTTAGTAAGTGTAGTAAAAAGATAAAAATAATAAAGCTATACAAATGAACGGAGCGGTGAAAATCTGAGAGGGTGAGAGGTTCTTTAATTAGAGCTAATGATTAAATGAGACCCACTAAAGGTACTAAATTAACCGGACTGCTAGCAAGGAATCGAGAGTGGGAATAAAACTAAAAGCGGAATAAATTTTAAGATAATGAAACAGAAACTGAAAGCTAAAATATATACCGTTCTAGAATGCCTCCGCAAACTATTGCTTCTTTGTAATGTGCACGTGTTAGTAAGTGTAGTAAAAAGATAAAAATAATAAAGCTATACAAATGAACGGAGCGGTGAAAATCTGAGAGGGTGAGAGGTTCTTTAATTAGAGCTAATGATTAAATGAGACCCACTAAAGGTACTAAATTAACCGGACTGCTAGCAAGGAATCGAGAGTGGGAATAAAACTAAAAGCGGAATAAATTTTAAGATAATGAAACAGAAACTGAAAGCTAAAATATATACCGTTCTAGAATGCCTCCGCAAACTATTGCTTCTTTGTAATGTGCACGTGTTAGTAAGTGTAGTAAAAGATAAAAATAATAAAGCTATACAAATGAACGGAGCGGTGAAAATCTGAGAGGGTGAGAGGTTCTTTAATTAGAGCTAATGATTAAATGAGACCCACTAAAGGTACTAAATTAACCGGACTGCTAGCAAGGAATCGAGAGTGGGAATAAAACTAAAAGCGGAATAAATTTTAAGATAATGAAACAGAAACTGAAAGCTAAAATATATACCGTTCTAGAATGCCTCCGCAAACTATTGCTTCTTTGTAATGTGCACGTGTTAGTAAGTGTAGTAAAAAGATAAAAATAATAAAGCTATACAAATGAACGGAGCGGTGAAAATCTGAGAGGGTGAGAGGTTCTTTAATTAGAGCTAATGATTAAATGAGACCCACTAAAGGTACTAAATTAACCGGACTGCTAGCAAGGAATCGAGAGTGGGAATAAAACTAAAAGCGGAATAAATTTTAAGATAATGAAACAGAAACTGAAAGCTAAAATATATACCGTTCTAGAATGCCTCCGCAAACTATTGCTTCTTTGTAATGTGCACGTGTTAGTAAGTGTAGTAAAAAGATAAAAATAATAAAGCTATACAAATGAACGGAGCGGTGAAAATCTGAGAGGGTGAGAGGTTCTTTAATTAGAGCTAATGATTAAATGAGACCCACTAAAGGTACTAAATTAACCGGACTGCTAGCAAGGAATCGAGAGTGGGAATAAAACTAAAAGCGGAATAAATTTTAAGATAATGAAACAGAAACTGAAAGCTAAAATATATACCGTTCTAGAATGCCTCCGCAAACTATTGCTTCTTTGTAATGTGCACGTGTTAGTAAGTGTAGTAAAAAGATAAAAATAATAAAGCTATACAAATGAACGGAGCGGTGAAAATCTGAGAGGGTGAGAGGTTCTTTAATTAGAGCTAATGATTAAATGAGACCCACTAAAGGTACTAAATTAACCGGACTGCTAGCAAGGAATCGAGAGTGGGAATAAAACTAAAAGCGGAATAAATTTTAAGATAATGAAACAGAAACTGAAAGCTAAAATATATACCGTTCTAGAATGCCTCCGCAAACTATTGCTTCTTTGTAATGTGCACGTGTTAGTAAGTGTAGTAAAAAGATAAAAATAATAAAGCTATACAAATGAACGGAGCGGTGAAAATCTGAGAGGGTGAGAGGTTCTTTAATTAGAGCTAATGATTAAATGAGACCCACTAAAGGTACTAAATTAACCGGACTGCTAGCAAGGAATCGAGAGTGGGAATAAAACTAAAAGCGGAATAAATTTTAAGATAATGAAACAGAAACTGAAAGCTAAAATATATACCGTTCTAGAATGCCTCCGCAAACTATTGCTCCTTTGTAATGTGCACGTGTTAGTAAGTGTAGTAAAAAGATAAAAATAATAAAGCTATACAAATGAACGGAGCGGTGAAAATCTGAGAGGGTGAGAGGTTCTTTAATTAGAGCTAATGATTAAATGAGACCCACTAAAGGTACTAAATTAACCGGACTGCTAGCAAGGAATCGAGAGTGGGAATAAAACTAAAAGCGGAATAAATTTTAAGATAATGAAACAGAAACTGAAAGCTAAAATATATACCGTTCTAGAATGCCTCCGCAAACTATTGCTCCTTTGTAATGTGCACGTGTTAGTAAGTGTAGTAAAAAGATAAAAATAATAAAGCTATACAAATGAACGGAGCGGTGAAAATCTGAGAGGGTGAGAGGTTCTTTAATTAGAGCTAATGATTAAATGAGACCCACTAAAGGTACTAAATTAACCGGACTGCTAGCAAGGAATCGAGAGTGGGAATAAAACTAAAAGCGGAATAAATTTTAAGATAATGAAACAGAAACTGAAAGCTAAAATATATACCGTTCTAGAATGCCTCCGCAAACTATTGCTCCTTTGTAATGTGCACGTGTTAGTAAGTGTAGTAAAAAGATAAAAATAATAAAGCTATACAAATGAACGGAGCGGTGAAAATCTGAGAGGGTGAGAGGTTCTTTAATTAGAGCTAATGATTAAATGAGACCCACTAAAGGTACTAAATTAACCGGACTGCTAGCAAGGAATCGAGAGTGGGAATAAAACTAAAAGCGGAATAAATTTTAAGATAATGAAACAGAAACTGAAAGCTAAAATATATACCGTTCTAGAATGCCTCCGCAAACTATTGCTCCTTTGTAATGTGCACGTGTTAGTAAGTGTAGTAAAAAGATAAAAATAATAAAGCTATACAAATGAACGGAGCGGTGAAAATCTGAGAGGGTGAGAGGTTCTTTAATTAGAGCTAATGATTAAATGAGACCCACTAAAGGTACTAAATTAACCGGACTGCTAGCAAGGAATCGAGAGTGGGAATAAAACTAAAAGCGGAATAAATTTTAAGATAATGAAACAGAAACTGAAAGCTAAAATATATACCGTTCTAGAATGCCTCCGCAAACTATTGCTCCTTTGTAATGTGCACGTGTTAGTAAGTGTAGTAAAAAGATAAAAATAATAAAGCTATACAAATGAACGGAGCGGTGAAAATCTGAGAGGGTGAGAGGTTCTTTAATTAGAGCTAATGATTAAATGAGACCCACTAAAGGTACTAAATTAACCGGACTGCTAGCAAGGAATCGAGAGTGGGAATAAAACTAAAAGCGGAATAAATTTTAAGATAATGAAACAGAAACTGAAAGCTAAAATATATACCGTTCTAGAATGCCTCCGCAAACTATTGCTCCTTTGTAATGTGCACGTGTTAGTAAGTGTAGTAAAAAGATAAAAATAATAAAGCTATACAAATGAACGGAGCGGTGAAAATCTGAGAGGGTGAGAGGTTCTTTAATTAGAGCTAATGATTAAATGAGACCCACTAAAGGTACTAAATTAACCGGACTGCTAGCAAGGAATCGAGAGTGGGAATAAAACTAAAAGCGGAATAAATTTTAAGATAATGAAACAGAAACTGAAAGCTAAAATATATACCGTTCTAGAATGCCTCCGCAAACTATTGCTCCTTTGTAATGTGCACGTGTTAGTAAGTGTAGTAAAAAGATAAAAATAATAAAGCTATACAAATGAACGGAGCGGTGAAAATCTGAGAGGGTGAGAGGTTCTTTAATTAGAGCTAATGATTAAATGAGACCCACTAAAGGTACTAAATTAACCGGACTGCTAGCAAGGAATCGAGAGTGGGAATAAAACTAAAAGCGGAATAAATTTTAAGATAATGAAACAGAAACTGAAAGCTAAAATATATACCGTTCTAGAATGCCTCCGCAAACTATTGCTCC